ACTCTACTCCATATTTTTATGTAAGTCGCGGGCTTGAGAGCCTCACAGTCTAGTTCGCCGATGCAACTATTAACATTGTGGCGATCATGGATGTGAGATCAACTTAAACCACGCACAATAAGTTCGTTTCGTCTAATGTCAGCAGTCTGGGAGCTGTGAGGAATAGTTTATTCTGTATATCAGGCTGGTTGCCGTAAGTTGGCTGTTTGCTTGCAACAGAGATAAGCGTCCGTTCATGGAGAGCGTCAGTCGCGGTGTGACGTTTACGCGAGGATGACTGGTTGAGTGCTCGTCATGGGATTGGACGGATTAGGGGAGGATTAGGGGGGAAGCATAATTACAGGGGCTCCCAGGTATCAAGCCAGGTCGTCCGACGCGCATGAGGTGATAATAGTTTATGGGGGCAGCCAGAGATCACTGCAGCTGGACAGGAGGGATCCTGTTCTGGCCGGCGGGGGTGGTCGTGTGCCCGTAGCCTGGCGGCGATTGTCGCGGCCATCGACCGACAAAACGGAGCCGGAGAAAAGGGGGACTGGAGTAGCTGCTACACCATAAATCAGGAAAAGTAGTAGGCATAAAACAGAACTCTGTGGAACACCACTTTACACTTTTGCCCGTTTCGAGTTAGAGTTACCAACAACGACTCTTTGTACTCTGGAGTATAGGAAGCTGCTGGCCCATTTAAATATTTTTCATTGAGTTCGTACATTACAGATCTTGTATAAAGGTAGCCTGTGTAGGATACTATCAAAGGCCGTCTTGAAGTCAAAAAATATAACATCCACTGGATAACCCTTGTCGGTAGCCCTTGTCCACTTCTCGTTCCAGTAAAGAACACTCGTCAGGCAGGAGCATCCTGGTCGAAAGCCGTGCTGGGTACCGCACAATATTTTTCAACGCCGTCACGTATGCTGAAGGTGATAAACTGTGGAGAGTCATCAGATCCGACGCAGACAGGCGCGCACTTCAAGAGGATCTCGACAGACTTGACAGCTGGTCAGATCTTAATGACCTCCTAGCTGAAACCATCTTCTCAGTGCCTAAAGGCACCCAAGCGCACGATACGGGTGTTATTTGCGTGGAGGCGATCATATATGCTGAAGGACAAGTAAATAAATAAAAAAATTTTAGTAAAGACCCGTCGGGGTCCAGTCAATGCAAGGAAAAACGAATCTGCATACAAATTTTAGACGAGGTAGGAAGAATCTGTAGGAAATGCGATTCATAGGTACTGCATTTATAGTCCGTTAGGAAAAATGATGAGCGAGCGGTGAAAAAAACCCGACTTAAAAATTTAAGGATGATCGGATTAATTTTACAGGAGAAAAAATCCTTGCTCATAATAAAAAAGTGCGGACAGGACTAGCCTGCATGTGGCGGTGTACAACGGATTATAATCGGACATCGTCAGGGCAGAAATAAATGTCAGCCTTGAGGGGCACGTATGCGGGTCAGACAGGACTGGCCTGCATGTGGTATTAGAATAAAACAGGTTTATTACAGCGCCCCTTGGGCACTGTGAGTCTCATTTGAACTCAGAAAAAACCTAAAATAATATCTTCCATTTCGACTGCACTTTCACTTCATTTGTTTTAGGTGTCTGTTTACCAAATGGAGCGCGAATTGAGTTTGTTTTAAGTGGGGGAGGGGGAGGAGGAGGGAGCTTAGAAGGAACGGATAGGCTGGTGGGAATCGTAGACTGCTATAAGAATAAAAGGGTGGGAAACCAGATCTAGGTTGGAAGTCAAAGAGTTAGATTGACTTACCTGAGAGCAATTGGCCTTGAGTGGTGGGAAACCTGAATTAGGTTGGGGCATAAATTACTTAGGGCAATTCATGTATGAATTATTTGCTGGATATATAGTAGGGCTTTGATAAGTAACCGGTACGGAGGACAGAGAATCATTTGGGGATATAATTGGAGTTGCGGCGTTTGTTGATATGCTGGGCTGAAAAGACTTGGTAGATCTAAGAGAAGGCGGCATACCCCGAAATGGAACTGCACTACCTTTCTTTTGGGTCGGAGTCTGATTCGGTTTTGGAGTCTCATCGTTCTCACGCCAAGCAATGGGGGACTTAGCAGTAGAGCTTGCAGCACCCAGTTGGACAGGGGAAGTTATCAGTCTAGCTGATGTAGACGGATTTTCATGTGTCGCAGCGGGGCTATCCGGAGGATACGAAACGACAAATGGGACTGCTGCTGCTGCTGCTGCAAATTTAGGGGCAGGCAAATGCGTCAAGTGGCCTGATTGATGTGGAGATGCAGGAGTAAGGGGAAGGAGGGAGTCAGGTGTCGCAGACGCAGGACAAGCTGGATCCTCACGGCCACTCATATTATGACTGAGTTGGTGAGCATTAGACTGAGAAGCAGGGCGTTAACGTGAGATGACAGACCCGATTCTACGCTCCATAGGAGTAAGATCAAGACAAAGGAAAAATTTTGCATTTTCCAGGCACGCAGTGACACGATCTCGATGGTCAAAGATCGTACCAATCTCGATTGATGAAAATAGTTTGACTAAGATGGGTGGATTTTTGCTACGGGAGGACAAGCGTTTAGCATAGCTTATTTTGTAGTTGAAAACACAAGATCGCAGGAAATTAGTCACAACCTCAACTGACCGAGCAGATCAAGGTACATTTTCAACAAAAGTTGTAAGCACGCCTTTGTCTATCATTAGATTCAGTGGCGATCAGATGAACAAGTTACGCAAGACGTCTACATTCTTGGAGGGAATATCGGAGATGTGCCCGTCGAATAATTTTTCAAGAATTGACAGCAAAGTGCCAAACTTTAGCATAAAATCATTGCGTTTGTCAAGTTCAGACAGATTAAGCTGCCTACCGGTTTCAACGGGTGACGACGGACTAGTAATTTCTTATGGATTAAATGTATGTTAACTTTCTGAATTAGCTTATTTAAGCCTTCTGACTTAGATTTAGTCAAACCATTCTTACGCACATAGGCCGAGAGCTTTCGCCAAACTGTGACTTTTACTCTCTTCTTGTCTCGAGGCAAGTTGTAATAAAGAAAACTTCGGGCAGACCTAGTGACTGAATTTCAGCTAAAGGCTAAAGATGTAAGAATAACTTACACAGTAAGAGAGAAATCGAATGCACAAAATGCGAATTGCAGAGTGCGACTGGTAAGCAACAGGCGTAGACTAGCAGAAATCAACAAAAAATGACAATGGGTAGTTCTGAGTGAATAGGCCTTGAAAAAGGGCTAAAATCGTCAGATCTCTCAGAAAAAACCACTTTAAATAATATATTCCACTTATCTTCAAATTTAAAACCAGCGGCTTGACCTGGGACTGTTCGGAAAAACCTACACCGCGTTCGTTCGGTCTCACTCAGAGTAGGCCGTCCAGACTTCGTGTCTGTGGCTCAAGGGCGATTATCAAGAGCTGGAAATAGTAAGGACGAGGGCTGCGAAGATGGTTAAGAATCTTGGTTATCTGCCTCACGAAACCAGACTGGCTGAATTCAACCGGTCTCCTCCCAACTGCAGGCAACTTCGCGGAAAACTCATCCAAAACTACCGGATTGTCAGAGGCCATGAATGCGCCCTAGACTTTGACAACTACTGCGAATCGGCTGGGGCGAATCGTATGCGTGATCATCCTTTTCAATTACAGGGGTAGTTGGCCCATACAAACGTTCGACGGAATGTCCTTTCGCAGGGGACAGTCGGATCATGGAACAGACTCCCTGACGCGAAAATATACATATAATTACGATTATCACAGTGGCGGCAACTTGCGCCTGGCTTACACCTGGCGACAACTTATAAACTTCCAGAATTACTGGTGTAAGCAGGATTGTCTATGCCACGTTTGGATTCAAATAGAGGCTCAAGGATGAAGGCCTTATTCCCTCGAAAAGCTGTCTTACGTGTTAAAATACGAAATTTGAATAATTCTTACACGTTCGGCTCATCCACGCTACATGATTTCGTATCAGGCCGACTCGACGATTTATGGTGCTGTACATGTTTCGTCGTTTTAAGCAACGTTTTGTCTAATGCGATGGTGTCTTTGAGCAGGTTGGCGATAAAGCCATTATGAATAATAACTTGAAAATTTCAATAAGTAACGTAAGATCTAATTCATCTCATGATGTTTCCGGCAATATCTTATATATGAAGCATAGATAATATTAATCGACATCTTACAGTGATGAAGTCCACACAAAGATCGAAAAAGACCATCCATCTTCGAGGGAACTGATTAGATTCCGCCCACGCAGCCAGGTGGCGCAGCTCACACCGTCGCGAAGTGCAAATGGCGTCACCACGCCGGGGGAACATCGTGGACCAGGCGGCACAAACCCTACCTAGCCACGGACGTACTCCCCCTCCCTCCCCCGCAAGGATGAACGATATAAATGCTCACAATTTGCTGCACTCGAGTAACCTCTGATGATGAACTCTAGTTCGAGTTCGAAAGCTCAGGCAAATAAACTTACTGTCCCAGTGATCGTGCCTTCGCCTTCTTTTAAACAAGAACCTGAGATGCGCATATTCTCTTCCATTCGTGAGATTCCTCTGTCGCCAGAAGATTAGGGGAGCACCCTCTACCTCTGGGGCCCTCCGTGGATTATGTGTGGTCTGAGTTCTAGTCCATAATATCGCCGAAGGGGTCATGGAAATTTCTTCTTTTTATTTCTCATTCCTGGATGGTTGGGCATTTATTTGCCATGAACATAGGGTATATTTGTGGCACCAGTTAACTGTAACAACCGAAGATTTGGGTTGGAAGCATCGAATGATGATCACATCATAATTTTGCCGACTTACTTGTTTATATAGACAGTTGCAGCAAGTTGTGAGGCTTAATTGAAGGGATATAGGCGAATTTACGCGAATGGTCTAAACATTTTTACCTATCATTGGTCAATGTGAGCGAATCACAACGCAGCGAGCATCGCCGAGTCGTACCTATCCAACCGGGTTGTTACAACTTCTGACCTGCGCTTTCTGTTACCTCTTTCCGTCGACCATGGACCTGTCCAGCAAAATTGACATGAGCCTGGGTAGTTACTCTTGCTGACTTCATTTGGTTTTCTCAGTTACTTATTCGAGGATCGTGCTCACGCCGCTCAAGGGTTTTTCGCTTTTCATGCACAGAACCTTCATTACCTATACCTAGGTTCAGGAACCAGGTCGTCTCTCTGCCTAGGGAATTCTGCCACATCATTTGAGCCTCCGCGGCTTTAATGTTTTTTGACATTTATTTCTAGCTTTAAGCCACGCTTCATGTGTTCTCATTCCGCGCCTCTAGTCTTCATGATCTGCGTTGCGTTGACTTATCGTCTCGTGCGGATGTTACATCTCTAGTAGCAATTCCGTATCTAAGCGACAGCGGCTCGCTGCGGGAGTTATATGTCTTTGTATATATATAACTGCCAAATGTGTCTAACGCATTGGTCATGTTCCCGAAGTGTCCTACTGTCCGCGTTATGACTCGAAGATGATGTGATAAACTAAGCATTCGATTCTACGTTACCGCACCCTTACGTCCACACTTTTATTCCTAAGTATGCTTTTTAAATTGGTCTTTGTAGTTTGTGTACTATCTTAACTCCTGTGCCGCATCTACTTTCGAAACGTTTGTGGCCATAAACGATCGTATGAGTCGAGTCACAAGTGGACTTCCTCCCCTGTCTATCGTCCCTCTGTTGTCTGAGCTCTAATTCCAAACCTTTCTCTGGCTTTTTAGATACCTTTTAAGTGACATTACTATAGACTTATGCCCTGCCGAGGCTGTCTATCTAATTTTTTGCGGTTTTTATTGGCTATGTGCGTCGACCATTTTTAATGCCGATTTCGATTTCTCCCAGATGATATAATCAAATCGAACAAAAAGAACAAGCAAACTGCTGTCAACGTCGCAGGAAAGTCATCGATGCGTGGGCGCCGCGGTCGTGTGTCGGCTCTGAAGTCGCCACTCCGGAAGGGATCCGCTCTCAGGCCGAATCTGGCAGTCACGATGAAGTCTCGCCAGTCTGCCACAGCCCTCGCCATCTTTCGGAAGGCACAGCGTACAGCAGCAGCTGCCGCCAAGATTGCTGCAAGCGCCGCTGCTCTCCTATCTACGAAGCCGACCCAGAGACGCCTCCCATCCGCTGGTGATTACGTAAAACCTTTGATTTTGAAGTCTGTTCACTTACTGACGCTCGTAGTCCGGAAGTTCTCTGCATTCTAGTACTGAATATGCTGACGATGGATCACCTTTCACCATTCTTAGGTGGATTGCTAGAAGCGTAGCAGTCGATTAGTCTTCGATAGAGATTTCTTTGTTTGCGTTCCTCCGGATCCATAGGATAAGGTTGATTATCACAAAAACGGGATTATCCCTAAATACACTTCCATTACCAGCAATGTAAGGACGACAGGCGTTTTGCATCGTCGATCACCATTATGCCTGCTACGCAGTTTTACCTCAGGAGGCCGCCTTGCTCGGCGCGTTCGTATTCACAGTTCGGTTCACAGTAGTTCAAAGACAGGCTTTCTTTCCCCCTGTGTACATGAACTTCGGTATTTTTTTGCCATTTACTAATTATTTTGGATGGTGTTTTCATTCTTCAGAGGATCGCGGCTCCTAATCATAGTGCAGTGTCTCGAGATGGATCCATTTCTGATAGACATAATGTGCCTAGCGTTTTCTGAGCTTTCTGCAGGCTCTGCCCCTG